CTCCCTGGAGAATCACAGGCAGAGTCCACTTTGGGAGAGTGAAGAAGGCAGAGTCTGATATCCTCAGGCCATTGCAGCAGCCATTGGAGAAGAAAGGGGCTTTCTCTGCTGCTGCTTCCTTCTTCTTCCAACTTTTGTTCCACCTAAGACACCGTCCTATTGGATGGTGCTGCCTATACCTAAGGAGGTTCTCTAGTTTGGTTCTCTGTTCCACATGCCAATCATTTGTAGACACACCCTCACGGACACACCCAGAGGCCTCTTAATCACAGGTGTCTCTTAATCCAATGTGGTTGACAATTCAAATGAGCCATTACATATAGTATCAAACACCCTTCTCTACTCTGTTCTCAATATTTTGCATTGATGTTGGATGCTTGTTAGTTACTGAATCAATATCCTACATTTGATTAAGAGAGTGGATGAAGCAACATTTTATCATCAGCTAAAATCCATCCTTTACCTTAGGGTTCCTCCTCTGTGTGGTGTGATTTTGTGTGGCACATATTCTACATAATAATGTCATACAGAAGAGTTTCAGTGCATCTATAATGTTGTCTCTTCTGGAATGTTTTTGACTTGGAATCTTACTGCACTTGGCCTTTCAGACTGGCTTCTCTCACTTACCAGTCTGCCTTTAAGGGTGCTGTATCTTTGCAGGCTGCAGAGCTCACTTTCTGGGTGATGTTCTTTGCTGTGGTTAAAATGTACCTTGTCCATTCAGCATTGAAAGGTGCATCTTCCTTGCTTCTAGCTTTGGGCAGTTCTGGACATGGCTGCTGTAGTCACTGCTGAGAAGTTTTCTGTGCATAATTTTCACCTCATTTGCATAGACACCTGGGATTGTGGTGAATTAATTGTAGAGTGCACCATGTTTATTTTGTAAGAGTGTGACTGTCTTCCAGAGACAGTGTTCTTCTCTCCATTCACATGAGCCAGGGAAGGGTTCTTGCTGATTCATGTTTTCACTGTCTTTTGGAGCTTTTGGTGTTTGTCATTTCACCACTCCAGTTGAGTACCTGGTGGCACCTCATTGTTCGTTTTGAAGTTTCCTAATTATATACAGGTGAACATCTTCTCACACATGTGTTAACTGTGCCTATTTATTGAGTATCTTTCCAAATCTTTTTCCCACTTCCAACTTGGTTGCTTATTTTTTACTGAGTATTCTTCATGTATGTTGAATACCAACCCAGTGTCATTATGTGTTGTGACAACATTTTGTCCAGTTCTTCAGCATGTCTTCTCATTCTCTCAAGGGCATCTTTTGAAAAACACCAACTTCATTTTGATCAAGTTCTATTTACAAGTTTTTCACTCACAGTTCATGTGTTTGATGTTGCATATGAAGCTGTCATGCCAGCCCAGATTTCTCTGTATTTCTTTGTTATTTTAGTGAAGTTTGGAGTTTTGCATTAGGTACTACAATGTATAGGCAATTTTTTGGTGCTGACAAGTGAACCCTGGGCCTCCTAATTGCCAGGCAGGTGCTTTGCCAGAGCTGCAGCCCCAGCTGTGTGTCCTACTTTGAGACTGAGGCTCCACTGGGAGCTCTGTGACATTTGTGAAATGAGAATGTTTTCTCTCTCTACATGTTAATTCATGTCCAGTGCTTTGGCAACATTGTCCAAGAGACTATATTTTCCATTGATTTTCTTCTGCTCCTTTGTCAAAGATCAGTTGAATATTTTTATACTGTGCCAAATACCACTGTGTCTTGATGATTGTAGATTTTTATTAGCTGTTAACCTCAGGTAGTGTTCATCCTGTGAACTGAGTGTTCATTACTGTGTTGGTTGTTCTGGATCTTTTGTTACTGAAAACATAACTTAAAATATTTTTATTGGGATTATATTGAATCCATAAATAAAGTTGGTAAGAATTGATGGTAACTGAGGCTTCCCATCTGTGAACATAAAAGTATCTCCAAATATTTTCCATGTTTCTGATATTTTTATTAGAAGTTAGCAGTTTTTGTCATACAGATTTTTGTTAGATTTATATATGAGTATTTCTCTTTTATTGGTTCTGTATAAGTGGTGTGTATTTGTTTTTCTTTTCATTTTGGTGCTGCGTGTTGGACTTAGGGCTGCTCTACCATTGAGCTATATTCCCAAAACTTTTAATTTTTCATTGAGAAACAGAGTCTTGCAAAATTGCCCAGGCTGGACTCAAACCTGGGATCATCCTGCCCCGGCCCCCTGATTGGCAAGGACCACAGGCATGGCCTCCATGCCCAGCTTCCTGCTGTCAATAGTATAATAATTGTCCTATTTATTAACATGACAACACTGATGTCACATCATTGTTTTTCAAGATTCTTTAGTGGATTCCAGTAGCATAGAGGATCATGTTGTCTCTCTATGAAGACATTGTTTTATTGAGCTTGAGTGTTTTTTTCATTATTCTTGATTTTTTTAACTATTGATATAATCAATATTTATTATTTAGCTTTTTATTGTGATGGATAATGTCAATTGGTTTTTTAATTCTGAATAAGCCTTGCATGTGTGCTGTGTTCCTGGGCCCTGCAGAGGCTGATGTGAGTGCATCTGGGCCACTGGGCTTGACTTCCCACAGTAGTATGCTGGTCCCTGTTAAATTTTAACTGAGTTTTAAATTTGGCATCAGTCTTACAGAGCTGTAATAATTTCCTCTTGGCTGTGTTTATAATTCTTTTTATTTATTTTTGGATTCAATAAAGTATTGTATGATGAGGAATTTTGCATTCATGATCATGAAAGTCTTTCATAGTTTTCTATTTAATACTTTTCTTTATCTATTTAATTTTGATAATATGATAAAATATGCCATATAAAGAATTAGAAGGTGGGTTGGGGTTGTGGCTCAGTGGTCGAGAACTTGCCTAGCATGTGCAAGATCCTGGGTTCAGTCCTCAGCACCACATAAATAAATGGGATAAAGCTATTGTGTTCAACTGCAACTAAAAAAATAAATATAAACAGAAAGAATTAGGAAGTTTTAACTCAACTTCTGTTGTCTGGAAATAACAGTAGAAAATTGGTGGCAGGTCTTCAGTGTCTCATGGAAGCCTGTTTGAGATGTCAGAGCCTTGACTTTCTTTTTTTTTTTGAGGGGGTTGGGTTAATTATATATTTCTTAAATTTTTGAAATGTGTTTTAGACTTTCACAGTTAAATGTATAATAAATGATATTTTTCTGCACAATAGTGGGATGATGTACCCTTTGCCATTTAGATTTCAGTTGGCCTAGACCATCATTGTGATCTATCCCCAAGACACCTGATGTCACTCATAATTTTTCCATGCCATGAAGAACAGCCCACTAAAGGCTTTCTCTCAGGCTCCTATTAACCTCTGTTGATGCTGTCCTGCTTCAAATGTCATCTGTCTTATGTCCTTGAGCATGGATCTTTGTGAGTGGCAGGGTCGTGTTCTGGTAGGTGGTCCTTTGGGCTGTTCCACACTGTGCAGAAATCATAGCCTGCTTAGAGACCCACATGGAGTGGCCTGTTTCACACGCAGTCAGCGTGGGATAGTTCAGGATTCTGGGCTGCAAACCTGCTGCTTTAACACACCCTGGAAGTGCTTGTGCCTGAGGTTTCCTTTCACCAGCTCTGCTACAAGAATGAGGAATCTCTTTCATGACAGACCACCATTGTACATGTGGCCTGTCTTGATCAAAGTGTCCTTGGGCAGAATGGTGGTGTGTGTCTCATGACTGTAGATGATCTGAGTGAGACATCTGCTGTTCAGAGGAGTTTGAAAATCATTGGACATTCATGGTTGCCATGAGGTTTGGGAAAGGATTTTCTGCTGTCTGTTAAGAAAACTATTTTTCAAACCAATATAATTTTGTAAGGCTGTTGTTTGGACAAGGTGACATCTTGGGGTCATCGAGTTCTTTCTGAGACACTTGCCATCTTTTGACACACCCCATTCTGCTTTGACATTAACCACTAGAAATTATTATATTTTTGCGTTTATTAATCATTGTGCTTGATTACTAATTGGGTAAATTTGTTCTGGAGTAAAGCACCTGCAAACTTCTAGTTGTCCTCAGTGTAATCACCCAAGTTGAGCTCAGTCCCCAGTGAACACATTGTGACAACCGGTGTGGAAGATTGTCTAACTGTTGTCTATGAGGGAAACTCTTTAGTGACTCCATACTCTGAGGGTGTGGGTTGGGGCTGACTCTAGGCACTTCTTTAAGGATGGAACAATTGAGTTTCAAAAGGAAACAGGAGATCAGTAAATACCATGTTGTCTATATTAACTGTGTAGGCCCAGTGAGTCATGGTGGTTGGCAGGTTCTCTCAAATGCTGAGTTATGTGATCCCAGCAATTTCCTACTCAGTTAGCTTTCTTTTCTAAGGGGTAAGTAATAAGGAGAGTGCTAATATTAGCTCTCTACTGCACAGGATGTTGGTAAGAAGGTGATAGAGATGCAATCAACAAATAAGGGTGACCCGGGAGCCCCTCTTACTTCCTGTGAACTCACCAAAGAAAGGGTGTACAACACTCTACTATTTACTTTGTGTGGGGCCCAAATCTAGTGTTGGAGTGGCTGTGAAGAATTAAATGCACTGAAGATTTCAATGACCAAATTGTGGAATTAATCGAGAGGCCAGGGAATCACGTGAACATCATGCATGTTGAGTATAGATTTCTCATGCTGTGAAATCTCCCCTGGTCTCCACTACACATTTTTGGGATATTTTAGATCTCAGTGACCTTTGAGGATGTGGCTGTGAACTTCATGCAGGAGGAGTGGGATTTGCTGGATGCTTCCCAGAAGAACCTTTACAGAGATGTGATGCTGGAAGTCCTCAGAAACCTGGCATCTATAGGTAATAATTTGTGTATTTACTTATAGAATTTGTGTTTATTTTTTTTTAATTTATGTAGAACATGAAAAGACAATCAGTTGGTGAATTAATGTAGCATAAAATGCACCATGAATTTGGAAAAGCATTTCTAGCTCCTAGAAATTTATAATGTTTTTGTTTGGCATTTTAGGAAACAAATGTGATGAGAAGAACATTGAAAATCAGATTAAAAATTTTGGGAGCAATCTAAGGTAATTGTACTGACAAGAGGAATCCTTGAGGGAATCTGGGGATGTCATATAATTTTAAAAACCAATGCAAGAAATTTGCACAACTTTAAATGTATTTATTCTTATAAGATTTTTTTACCAGAAATATATACTTCACTGGGACTGAGATTGTGGCTCAGTGGTAGATAGCTTGCCTTGCATGCTTGAGGCACTGGGTTCTCTTCTCAGCACCACATTTAAATCAATAAAGTCTGTTGTCCACTGAAATAAATTATATATATAAAGACATAGATATATAGATATATAGATATTCAGTCTATTCAAAGTGCTTGACATGCAAAAACTATTATGAAATTGCATATGTGAGTATAATTATTTGGATAATGACCATAGGCAAGCTGTGTTGCAAAGCATTGTTTCCTCTCAATCTCTTTATTTTCTTGGCAATTTGAACAAGTTTGAAAATCCTAGGCTTTACCTCATGTTGGAAGTGACGTTAACCTAGGACCTTAAATAAATACAACATCATGAATTAATCAAGTATTAATAATGTGCTGGTCATGAGATCCCAATTCTTAAGCAAAGAAAAAATTTAATAGAGTAAATTCATGTGACTGCATTATGTGTGCCAAAGACTTCATATGCCCTTCATTCCTCATAGGCAGATCACATCTCACTGTGGACCCGAACGCTACAAGCATGAAGAATGTGACGAGAAGCCATGTGAATTGAAACAATACAGGAAATCTCTGGTTTCTCTCAAAAGTGTTCACACACAAATGTTAACACAAACTGGAGATGGACCCTGTGAAAGTATAGTATGTGGGAAAGTCATCAGTTGTTCCAATGACATTGAGAGGCATGAAGATTCTCATACTGGGTGGCAACCTGATGAATGTCAACAATGTGATGAAGCCTCATCTTCTCCCACAGATGTTCAAAGTCACACAAGAACACATAGGCGAGGTAAAGCTTTTCAATGTGAGGTATGTGGAAAAGCCTTTCATTCCCCCACTTTATTTAGAAAACATGAAAGAACTCATTCTGGAGAGAAATCCCATGAAGGTAAAGAAGGTGGTAAAACCATGGTTTCACCCACAAGTCTTCACAGTCACGTGATCACGCACAGTGGGAAAGTACTTTTTAAATGTAACGTATGTGGGAAAGACTTTGCTTACCGAAGTTTATTTAGAATACATCAGAGAAAACATACTAGAGAGAAACCCTATGAAAGTCAACAATGTGGAAAAGCCTACACTACTTTGTCTTACATTCAGATGCATGAACATATCCATAGTGGCAAGAAGACCAAAGAATGCCAACAATGTGGAAAAGTCTTCACTACTTCTTTATCCCTTGACAGACATGAACGAACGCATACTGGAGAGAAGCCCTATCAATGTCAACAATGTGGAAAAGCCTACACTACTTCATCTTACCTTCAGATACATGAACAAATCCATGCTGGAGAGAAGCCCAATGAATGCCAACAATGTGGAAAATTCTTCACTACTTCTTCTTCCCTTCACAGACATGAACGGACGCATACTGGAGAGAAGCCCTATGAATGTGAACAGTGTGGCAAAGCCTTCACTAACTCCTCTATACTTCACAGACATGAAAAAACTCATACTGGGGAGAAGCCCTATGAATGTCAACAATGTGGGAAAGCCTTCAGTACTTCTTCCTACCTTCAGATACATGAGCGCACTCATAGTGGGGAGAAGCCCTATGAATGTAAGCAGTGTGGCAAAGCCTTCACTAACTCCTCTATACTTCGCAGACATGAAAGAACACATATGAAAAAGAAACCCTATAAATGTCAACAATGTGGGAAAGCCTTCACTACTTTGTCTTACCTTCAGATACATGAACAAATCCATACTGGAGAGAATACCAATGAATGCCAACAATGTGGAAAAGTCTTCACTACTTCTTCTTCCCTTCACAGACATGAACGAACGCATATTGGAGAGAAGCCCTATCAATGTCAACAATGTGGAAAAGCCTACAGTACTTCATCTTACCTTCAGATACATGAACAAATCCATGCTGGAGAGAAGCCCAATGAATGCCAACAATGTGGAAAATTCTTCACTACTTCTTCTTCCCTTCACAGACATGAACGGATGCATACTGGAGAGAAGCCCTATGAATGCAAGCAGTGTGGCAAAGCTTTTACTCAATCGTCTAACCTTCACTCACATAAAAAAACTCATACGAAAAAGAAACCCTATGAATGTCAACAATGTGGGAAAGCCTTCAGTACTTCTTCCTACCTTCAGATACATGAGCGGACTCATACTGGGGAGAACCCCTATGAATGTCAACAATGTGGGAAAGCGTTCAGTACTTCTTCCTACCTTCAGATACATGAGCGGACTCATACTGGGGAGAAGCCCTATGAATGTAAGCTGTGTGGCAAAACCTTCACTCTGTCCAATCGCCTTCACTCACATGAAAAAACTCATACTGGGGAGAAGCCCTATGAATGTAAGCAGTGTGGCAAAGCCTTCACTCGGTCCAATCGCCTTCACTCACATGAAAAAACTCATACTGTGGAGAAGCCCTATGAATGTCAACAATGTGGGAAAGCCTTCAGTACTTCTCCCTACCTTCAGATACATGAGCGGACTCATAGTGGGGAGAAGCCCTATGAATGTAAGCAGTGTGGCAAAGCCTTCACTGAGTCCTCTAAACTTCACAGACATGAACGAGCGCATACTGGAGAGAAGCCCTATGAATGTAAGCAGTGTGGCAAAGCCTTCACTAAGTCCTTTAAACTTCACAGACATGAACGAACACATACTGGAGAGAAGCCCTATGAATGTAAGCAGTGTGGTAAAGCCTTCACTAACTCCTCTATACTTCACAGACATGAAAAAACTCATACTGGGGAGAAGCCCTATGAATGTCAACAATGTGGGAAAGCCTTCAGTACTTCTTCCTACCTTCAGATACATGAGCGGACTCATAGTGGGGAGAAGCCCTATGAATGTAAGCAGTGTGGCAAAGCCTTCACTGAATCCTCTAAGCTTCACAGACATGAAAGAACACATACTAGAGAGAAACCCTATGAATGTCAACAATGTGGGAAAGCCTGCCCTACTTTGTCTTACCTTCAGATACATGAACAAATCCATACTGGAGAGAAGCCCAATGAATGCCAACAATGTGGAAAAGTCTTCACTACTTCTTTTAACCTTCACAGACATGAACGGATGCATACTGGAGAGAAGCCCTATGAATGTAAGCAGTGTGGCAAAGCCTTCACTCAGTCCACTCACCTTCACTCACATGAAAAATCTCATACTGGGGAGAAGCCCTATGAATGTCAACAATGTGGGAAAGCCTTCAGTACTTCTTCCTACCTTCAGATACATGAGTGGACTCATAGTGGGGAGAAGCCTTATGAATGTAAGCAGTGTGGCAAAGCCTTCACTATGTCCTCTAAGCTTCACAGACATGAAAGAACACATACTAGAGAGAAACCCTATGAATGTCAACAATGTGGGAAAGCCTGCCCTACTTTGTCTTACCTTCAGAGACATGAACAAATACATACTGGACAGAATCCTAAGGAATGCAAACAATGTGGAAAAGTCTTCACTTATTCTTCTAACCTTCACAGACATGAACGGACGCATACTGGAGAGAAGCCCTATGAATGTAAGCAGTGCGGCAAAGCCTTCACTCGGTCCACTCACCTTCACTCACATGAAAAAACTCATACTGGGGAGAAGCCCTATGAATGTAAACAGTGTGGCAAAGCCTTCGTTCGATCCCATCATCTTCACAGACATGAAAAAACGCATACTGGAGAGAAGCCTTATGAATATCAACAATGTGGAGAACCCCTTGACACATCCAGTGAACCTCACGTACATGGAAGTATTCATGCAGAAGAGAAGCCTAATGAATACCAACAATGTGGAAAAGTCTTTTTCTTGTTTTTTCTTTCACAGACATGAAGGGACTCACACTCAAGAGAAACCCTATCAATGTAAGCAGTGTGGCAAAGCCTTCACTCAGTCCTCTCATGTTTGCTCACATGAACGGACTCATACTGGAGAGAAGCCCTGTGAAGGTCAACAATGGGGGAAAACCTTGGTTATATACCATCAGCTTCACTTACATGAACAAACTCATATTGCAAAGAAATTGTACTGATGAAAACAATTGGCAAAGTCTTCTGTTATTACTGTTCTTCTCATCAACATGTTGGAAGTTTACTGGAGAAAATTTCTTTAAATGTGAAATGTGGTGGATCAATATGTCTTGTCCCCTTCAAACACACTGCTCACTCTGCTGAATATTGTACTGAGGATTTGTCTGCAGATTTGGTCTGGTGGCCCTCTACCACTGAGACACATCCTCATTCTTTTTTATATTTTTAATTTTGAGACAGAGACTTGCTGAGTTCCTTAGGGTTGTTCTAAAATGCTGAGGCTGGCCCCAACTTGTGATCCTTCAGCCTAAGCCTCCCAAGTCTCTGGGATTAAATGCATACATCACCACATCTGGATGAATAACTGTTTAAATGTGAAAAAATATGGCAAATCATTCCATTTTCCCTGTTGTCTTCAAAGCCATTTCCCTCACTGGAAAATAAACACTCTGAATGGGGACGATTTGCTGTACTCTATCAGGTTCATGTTCTAGACCTATTTTTCTTCTCTTTTATGAAAATTCTCATGGAGAGAAGCCCTATGAATGGAAAAAATGTGGGAAATCTTTTAATTTTTGCAGTTTATTCTGAGTACTAGAAAGATTCTTTTGGAAAGATTCATGCCAAAATGAATAAACCCTATGCAAGTAAGAAATACAAAGGGTTCAGATGTTTTAGTTTTGTTCAGTTGTATTAAAAATATGTATATTGTAGAAAATCCTGTGGATAAGCCATGTTGGGCTGTACTTAATTTTTACAGTTTTATTCAAATACATAAAGGATTTACATCTTTACATCTGGGCTGGGGATGTGTCTCAAGCGGTAGCGTGCTCGCCTGGCAATCGTGCGGCCCGGGTTCGATCCTCAGCACCACATACAAAGATGTTGTGTCCGCCGAAAACTTAAAAGTAAATAAAGAAATAAATATGTTTAAAATTTTTTTAAAAATAGGATTTACATCTGGGAAAACCCGTCTGCTATTTATCTATTTATTTATTTATTTTGGATAAAGAAATTGCAGCAGAATGCATTACAATTCTTATTACACATATATACCACAATTACTCATATCTGTATATAAAGAATTTTGACACCCAATTCATGTCTTTATACGTGCACTTTGTATAATGATGTCCTTCACATTCCATCATCCTTGCTAATCCTCTGTCCCTTCCTTTTCGCTCCCAGTCCTCTGCTTTGTCTACCATTCATCTAATCCTTCCATGCTCCCCCCATGTACCCCCTATGAGTCAGCCTCCTTATATCAGAGAAAACATTCAGCATTTGTTTTTGGGGGATTGGCTAACTTCACTTAGCGTTATCTTCTCCAATGCCATCTATTTACCTGCAGATGCCATGATTTTATTTAATTTTTTATTGCTGGTTAAAGTTCCATTGCGTATATATGCCACATTTTTTAATCCATTCATCCACTGAAGGGTATCTAGGTTGACTCCACAGTTTAGCTCTTGTGAATTGTGCTGCTATAAACATTGATGTGGCTGTGTCCCTGTAGTATGGTGTTTTTTAAGTTCTTTGGGGAAGTCTGAGGAGAGGGATTGCTGGGTCAAATGGTGGTTTCATTCCCAGATTTCCAAGGAATCTCCACACCGCTTTCCAAATTGGCTGCACCAATTTGGAAGTCCCACCAGCAAGGTAAGAGGGTACCTTTTCCCCTGCATCCTCAACAACACTTATTGTTGTTTGTCTTCATAATAGCTGTCATTCTGACTGGAGTGAGGTGATAGATTAGAGAAGTTTTGATTTGCATTTCTCTAATTGCTAGAGAGGATAAGCATTTTTTCATATACATGTTGACTGATTTTATATTCTCTTCTCAGAAGTGTCTGTTCATGTCCTTGGCCCATTTGTTGATTGGGTTATTTGTTTTTTTGTTGCTTAGCTTTTTGAGTTCTTTATATACAATAGAGATTAGTGCTCTGTCTGAAGTGTGAGGGGTAAAAACTTGTTCCTTCAGTGTAGGCTTTCTGTTCACCTCACAGATTGTTTCTTTTGCTGAGAAGAAACTTTTTAGGTTGATTCCATCCCATTTATTGATTCTTGGTTTTAATTCTTGGGCTATAGGAAGTTGGGGCCTAATCCCACATGATGAATATTACAGACTACTTTTTCTTCTATTAGATGCAGAGTCTCTGGTTTAATACCTAGGTTTTTGGTCCATTTTGATTTGCACTTTGTGCATGGTGAGACCTAGGGATTTCATTTTATGTTGTTGCTTATGGATTTCCAGTTTTCCTAGCACAATTTGTTGAAGATGCTTTTTTCTCCAGTGCATGTTTTTGGCACCTTTGTCTAATATAAGATAATTGTAATTTTCTGGGTTAGTGTCTGTGTCCTCTATTCTGTTCCTTTGGTCTACCAGTCTTTTTTGATGCCAACACCATGCTGTTTTTGTTATTATTTCTCTGTAGTATAGTTTAAGATGTGGTATACAGATGCCACCTATATCAGTCTAAGGATTGTTTTAGCTATTCTTCATGTCTTATTTTTCCAGATGAATTTCATGATTGCTTTTTCTATTTGTATGAGGAATGCCTGGGGGATTTTGATGGGAATTGCATTATATCTGTATAATGCTTTTGGTAGTATGGTCATTTTGATCATATTATTTCTGCCTATCCAAAAGCAAGTTAGATGTTTTCATCTTCTGAGGTCTTCTTTGATTTCTCTCTTTATGGTTCTGTAGTTTTCATTGTATAGATCTTTTACTTCTTTCATTAAGTTGATTCTCAAGTATTTTTTTTTTTTTGAGGATATTGTGAATTGGGTAGTCTTTCTCATTTCCTTCTCTGAGTCTTTGCCACTGATATACAGAAATGCCTTTGATTTATGGGTGTTGATTTTATATTCTGCTACTTTGCTTAATTCAGTAAACAGTTCTAGAATTTTTCTGGTGGAGTTTTTTGGTTCTTCTAGATATAGAATCATATCATCTGCAAATAGTGCCAATTTAAGTTCTTCTTTTCCTATACATATCCCTTTGATTCCTTTCATTTGTCTAATTGCTCTGGCCAGCATTTCAAGAACTATGTTGAATAGAAGTGGTGAAAAGGGCAGCCCTGTCTTGTTGCAGTTTTTAGAGAAAATGCCGTCAATTTTTCTCTGTTTAGAATGATGTCCTGAGGCTTAGCATAGATAGCCTTTACAATGTTGAGATATGTTACTGATATCCCTAGTTGTTCTAGTGTCTTGAACATAAAGGGGTGCTGTATTTTGTCAGATGCTTTTTCTGCATCTATTGAGATGATCATATGATTCTTATCTTTGTGTCTATTGATGTAATAAATTACATTTATTGATTTGCATAAGTGGAACCAACCCTGCCTCTCTAGGATGAATCCCACTTAATCATATTGCACAATCTTAGTAAGCTCTGTTTTCTATTTTTATCACTTGGTATTGGTCTGTTTCAATTGTGTATGTCTTCCTGATTCAATCTGGGCAGATCGTATGACTTAAGAAATTTGTTGATAACTTCAATGTCTTCTATTCTCTGTTTTTCTGTCATATCTGTTGTAATATTATCATTTTCATCATGTATATGGGTAATTTGAGTTCTCTCTCTCATTCTCTTTTTTAGCATGGCTAAGAGTCTGTCAATTTTATTTATTTTTTCAAAGAACCAACTTTTTTTCTCCATATTTTCAACTGTTTCTTTGGTTTCAATTTTATTGATTTCACCTCTAATTTTAATTATTTTTTGCCTTCTACTGCTTTTGCTGCTGGTTTGTTCCTCTTTTTTTAGGGCTTTGAGTGGTAGTGTGAGGTCATTTATTTGTTAATTTTTTTTTCTTTGAAGGAATGAACTCTATGCAATGAATTTTCCTCTTAGTACTGCTTTCATAGTGTCTCAGATTTCCATCGGTTGTTTCTATGTTCTTATTTACCCCTAAGAAATTGTTAATCTCCTCCTTGATTCCTTCTGCAATGCATTGTTCATTCTGTAGCCTAATGTTTAGTCTCGAGGTGATGGAGAAATTTTTACTTTTTATTTTCTTTTTGTTTCCCAATTCTATTTAATTATGATCTGATGAAATGTATGGTAGTGTCTCTAGTTTTTTTATATTTGCTAAGAGTTGCTTTGTGGCATAGTATATGGTCTATTTTAGAGAAGGATCCATGTGCTACTGAGAAGAAAGTGTTTCTGTTTGATGCAGGCTGAAATATTCTATGTGTCAGTTAAGTCTAAATTATTGATTATGTTATTGAGTTTTATAGTGTTTTCATTCAACTTTTTGGAAGATCTGTGCAGTGGTGAGAGAGGTGTGTTAAAGTCACCCAAGATTATTGTGTTGTGGTCAGTTTGACTCTTGAACTTGAGAAGAGTTTGTTTGAACATAGCTCCACCATTGTTTGGGGCATATATATATTTATGGTTGTTACATCTTCTTGGTGTATGGTTCCCTTGAGCAATATATAATGTCCATCTTTATCCCTTTTCATTCCCTTTGGCTTCAAGTCTCCTTTATTTGATATGAATATGGAAAACCCTGCTTACTTGTGCAGTCCATGTGAGTGGTATGGTTTTTCCCAACCTTTCACCTTCAGTCAGTGTATGCCTTTTTCTATCAGATGAGCCTCCTTGAGGCAGCATCTTGTTGGGTCTTTTTTTTGTTTTGTTTTGTTTTTAATCCAGTCTGCTAGCTTATGTCTTGTGATTGGTGAGTTTATTCCATTAACTTTCAGTGTTATTATTGAGAAATGGTTTGTATTTCCAGCCATATTTGTTTATTTTTGTTATTTAAATTGACTTGATTTTCTTCTTTCATTAGTTTTTCCTTTGGGGTACTACCTTCCTCTTTTGATTTTCATTGCTGTTTTTCTTTTCCTCTTCATGGAATATTTTTCCAAGGATGTTTTGTAGTGCTGGTTTTCTAGCTATAAATTCTTTTTTACTTTTGTTTATCAT